TATTTCTGGAAGGATAACCTAAAGAAAAAAAAAAATCACACCTGTGCTTTAAGTTGTAGGAACGGGATTTTTCGGGGCATAACTAATTTAAGAAAATTTTAAATATGTTCATCAATGTGCAGTTAAACAAGTTATGGTACACACAATGGCATACAATACAGTTGTTTTATTTTTATTTATGTATTTATTTATTTTAGAGACGGTCTCACTCTAGCATCCAAGGCTCACCAGGGCCTTCATCTACCATGCTCAAGGGATTCACCCACCTAGGGCTACAAGCACATGCCACCCCGCCCAGCTAATGGTTTTTTAAGCTATTTTTTGTAAAGACAGGGTACTGCTACTTAGCCAGGTTTGTCTCAAACTCCTGGCCTCAGGGAATCCTCCCACCTCAACCTCCCAAAGTGCTGGGATTACAGGCATGAGGCACCAAGCCTAGCCATAATACAGTTGTTTTAAATAAATACTTGACTTAGATATGACAACATTTGTAAGTGAAAAATCAAATCACAGAACACTGAAGAGTTTTATCCTACACTGAGGTGGGATCCATGCACACACACACAGACGCTAAACAGACACACTCGTAAACTGTTAAGTGAGATTCTCTCTGAAGAGGGACATGTCAGAGGTCACAACCAGAATATATGGCCGGGTACAGTGGCTCACATCTGCAATCCTGGCACTCTGGGAGGCTAAGTCAGGACGACTGTTGGAGGCCAGGAGTTCAAGACCTGCGTGGGCAACATAGCAAGACCCCATCTATTTTTTTTTTTGAATGGAAAAAACCACAATAATATATGAATGAGTCATTAAAAGTTGTGGGGAATTTTTTTTATGACTGTGAAAAAAGTTTCCTCATACTCACTTTTCCCTTCCCACCTGCACTCTCCCAATTCCACTCTTCATGTCGCAGCCACTGGATTCTTGGCAACCACAAATCTGATCCCTATTCTAAAATATTTAATGGCCCTGGTCCTAGATGCAGCTCCTCCTACTTGCCTGACCCATCTGTCAACCTACTCCCTACTGTTGGCTCTGCTCTTGTACTCTTTCTGCTCGGCCCAAGAGTCTTCTTAATTCTGGACCATTTTTCACTAGCTGTTCCACCTTCCTGGAATGCTCTTTTTCCACTTCCCCTCTCTTCCATCCGCTCCCACTTCACTGGACTAACTTCAGACTTATAGTCGAAATGTCTTAGTCTCAGAAAAACAGAATCTCAGATTTGTGAGTCTAAATTCGATGTCCCTTTTAGTCCTCTTAGCCTTTTCTTTATAACAAAAACATTGTAATTAAGTATCTGTTAATTATTATTTTTTTACTGGCTACTTCCCCCATTCACACACAAGGACAAAGATTTCGTCTGGCTTGTTCACTGCTTCGGCCCAACAGCTGGCTTAACAACGCGCATATCAGGCACTCAATAAAAAACTCGCCTGACACACTAGAATGACAGTGGAATTTTTGGATGGTAGGTTTATGTGGCTTCCAAAAAACAGCTGTTTCTACTCTAGTTCCTTACTAGAAGGATTTCCTTTGGAATCATAAAACGCAAATTTAAGCAATCCTAACAGAAGTTGGTTAAAAGAAGTATCCAAAACCCAAAAGTTACTCATGAAATATGTATACTCTTACATGACTGATGGCCACAATATGGTAATTGCTTTTTGATAAAGCAATATACAGCAAATGCCATGACGGTACCACTATATTTTGTCCCAGCAATCCCAATAAAGAAAATGCAAGCGAGTAATTCAACAGCAGTTACGCATATCGCTTTCGAATGAAGTTAGCCTATTTTCCAAAACCTGCACACTATCTTACATGCACAAATAATCCAACAAGGTTAACTAGAGCTCAGCAACAGGTTACGTTAGAAACTGAGTTAATGCAGTTGTGGGTTACATTAGAAATGTACACGGTCATGGGAATTTTCCCCGTAATTCTTTAAAAAATTTTAACACTAGTCTAAAACATTGCCAAACGTTTTAAGACTCGGGTCTCGCTCTTAGGTAGAAT